TTAGATCTTGGAACCTCTTTCAGACAGCTGATGTAAGGTCTTTGTCGAATGAGTCCAATGCCCGGCCCTCCTTGAGGACAGTTTCTGGTGGTGGTTTTTTTCCCTGTGTTTGGCCATCCTTTCTTGTTTCTTTGCATGTCTTACAAACTTTAGTTGTAAACTGGACAGTTTAAATAATACAGTGTGGCAACTCCGAAATCAGATTTTCTTCCCTCCCCAAGGTGTTGCTGCTTATCATTGTTGACTTTATTTAATGACCTCTCTGAACGAATTCTGTGAAGTTTCTTGTGTGGGTGTCGTATGGCTGCCATGACAAAGCACCACAAATTGGGTGGCTTGGAACAGCAGTAATGTCTCACAGCCCTGGAGGTCGGAAGTCTGAGATCCAGGTGTGGGCAAGGCTGCTTTCCCTCCGAACCCCATAGCGGAGAGTCCCTTCCTGCCGCTTCTAGAGTCTGGCTGTGGCGGGCCACCCTCTGCATTCCTTGGCTTGTGGCTGTGTGGCTTCAGTCTCTGCCTCTGCGGTCGTGTACCCACCCCTGTGTCGGGTGTCTTGGGTTCCTCATGTGGTCCTCCCTCTTCTTATGAGGACTCCAGTCATACTGGATTGAGGGCCTGCCTACTCCAGTATGGCCTGATTTTTTTTTTTATAAAAGATTTTATTAATTGGGCTCCTGGGTGGCTCAGATGGTTAAGCGTCTGCCTTCGGCTCAGGTCATGATCCTGGGGTCCTGGGACCAGGTCCCGCATCGGGCTCCTGGCTCAGCGGGAGCCTGCTTCTCCCTCTGCCCCCCCCACCGCCGTCTCTCATGAATAAATAAATAAATAAAAAATCTTAAAAAAAAGATTTTATTAATTTGTTTGAGGGAGAGAGTGCGAGCAAGAGCAGGGAGGAGGGGCAGAGGGAGAGGGAGAAGCAGGTTACCCGCTGAGCAGGGAGCCTGACATGGGACTCGATCCTGGGACTCTGGGATCATTACCTAGCAAAAGGCAGATGCTTAGCCGACTGAGCCACCTGGGTGCCCCCAGTATGGCCTCATTTTAACTAATTATCGCATCAATAAATATACCCTGGCTTGCCACACATCTTCAATTTCCAGTGTTCTGAAAAAGTGGGTTCTGACCATTTTTGCTTCTGTCGAAGGGAGGATTTTGGAGGTTCTTACTCTGCCACTTACCGGTGTCGCCTACCTTTTATATGTAAGGGATTCGTAGTTCTCATTTGTGTTCCATACGCTTCAGTCATGCAAAGGGCACAACATAGCAGTGTTGGCATGTTCACGGGGTGGTGCGCCCCTCGCCGTGAGCATTTTCTCACCCGCCAAAGAAACCCCTTATTTTCCGGTCCTCACTTCCCAGTTCTCCCGTCACTGCCCCCCACCCCCAGCCCTAGGCAGGCACCCGTGTGCATTGTTTCTGTATGTTTGCACGGATTCATCCCATACGTGGCCCTTGTGCCTGGCTTCCTTCACTTACCGTCATGTTTTCAAGGTTCATCTATCTTATAGCATGAATCTTTGTATGGCCGACTAATAATCCATTGTATGGGTAAACCGCTTTTATTTATTCCCTGACAGTTGGTGGGCGTTTGGGTTTTTCCGCTCTCTGGCTCCTATGAACAATGCTGCCATGGACGGTTGTCTACAGGTCTCTGTGTGGACACCCGTGTTCATGTCTCAGGTATACTTATAGGAGTGGAACTGTGGGCTCACAGAGGGGCTCTGCCTCATGTTGTGAGGACGTGCCAGGCTGTTCTTGAGGCCAGCCTCTGCCAGCATGTGTGAGGCTTTTCCACGTCCTGGCCAATGTTCACTAGTCCTTTTTTTTAATTAGAGCTGTCACAGTGGGGGGTATCTTCCTCTGGCTGTGCTTTGCATTTCCATGACGGTCAGTGATGTTGAGCACCTTTTTATGTGCTTTCTGGCCACTGGTGTATCTTTGGAGGAATGTCTATGCAAATCCTTTGCCCATTTTTAAATTGGGTTGTCTGTCTTTATTTCTACTGTGTTCTAAGAGTTCTTTATTCCAGATGTAAGTCCCTCCTCAGATGCATGTATTTGCATATCTTTTCTCTGATAAAAATATTCTTCCCGTTACCTTTTGCTTCACTTTTTCCTGTCTTTCCACATATTCTGTGCTCTAGTTACACAAGACTTTGTTTTCCCAGACATGCTGCTTTTCAGTCCTGAAAATGCAGTAAATAGCAGCAGATAGTCATTTGGCAAGCTTTCCTTAAGGCTCATCTGCATGCCAGGCCCCCCAGCAGCTGGGATGCATCCCCTGGAGTTGGTGCTCAGGCGCCGCGTCTGGGCCCCCTCTCTCATTATCACGGTACTCATAAAGTTACGTCGCAGTGGGATTCCCATTCGCCCTGGAGTTTGGATCCTCACGGATTGTGCCCAGCCTTGGGGACCGTCCGTAGCCGTGTGCTTAATATTTATTAATGAGCTCAGTGACCCTGCACTGTTCGTTACTGTACTCAAGTGGGTACTTGAGAAACACTTGTTGGCTTGTTGACCGAGAGTACATGTAGTCCCTAAAGAGACTGGGTAAACACAGTTTAAGGCCATCAGAATATTTTTACACAGAAAGGGGCTGGGTTATTAGGATGGGAGAACCTTCTGGAGCTGCGGTCTCCACATTTTGGCCATTAAGATATTGGGGACTCTTAATATATGCACACATACTCACATACACACATGTACACACACTTATGTGTGCACACCCATGACACACATATGCACACGTACATGCTTATACACACACGTGCACATTTACACTTATACACATGTACACACCCCATACACACGTGTATGCACTCCCTGTATACACACAGTCACACTCATGCACACACATATACCCACATACACACACGTACACATGTACACACCCCATACACACACGTATGCACTCCCTGTATACACATATAGTCACACTCATGCACACACATACCCACGTACACACGTGCACATTTACACTTAAAACACATGTACACACCTCATGCACACACGTGTACGCACTCCCTGTATACACATATAGTCACACTCATGCACATATACCCACGCACACACACGCGTGCACCATTTCCACTTGTACACATGTACACACTCCATGCACACACGTGTACACACTCCCTTTATACACATACGGCCACACTCATGCACACACACCCCCACGTACACACACGTGCACATTTACACTTAAACACATGTACACACCCTATGCACACGTGTACGCATTCCTTGTATACACATATAGTCACACTCATGCACACACATATACCCACGTACACAAACACGCACATTTATACTTATACACATGTACACACTCCATGCACACGTGTACGCACTCCCTGTATACACATATAGTCACGCTCATGCACACATATACCCACGCACACACACACACGTGCACATTTACACTTATACACATGTACATTATCCTGTATATATACACTCGTGCACATGCATGCTCGCATATACACACGTACCTCACACTCATGTACACCATACACATGTGTGCACATGGCATCTGCACAGTACAAGTTTTAGTAAGTTATGTGCATGCGTTATACTACTGTATTATGTATATTATGATGATGTCACCGGAATGTAAATTGTAAAACGAGAGGTGAAAATACGACTAGATTTGCTTCTGTTTTCTTCGCCCTGTGGATGGTTTTCACCCTAGGGTATGCACCCTCACTTGGGAGCTTACTGCTTTAGAGCACATAAGGTTGAGTTTTTGTGTGGAGTTTTTATGAGGCCCTTGGGGTTCCCAAGTAAGCATTAAGGCCTTAGTTTATTTTCTGTTTTAAGCTTTAAGGTCAATTAAAGGCAACTACATTTTATTTACTTATTTATTAAAAAAAATTTTTTTTAAGACTTTATTTGTCAGAGAGAGAGATGAGAGAGCAAGCACAAGCAGGGGGAGCTGCAGGCAGAGGGAGAGGGAGGAGCAGGCTCCCCGCTGAGCAGGGAGCCGGACGCGGGACCCGATCCCAGGACCCCGGGATCATGACCTGAGCCGAAGGCAGACGCTCAACCGACTGAGCCACCCAGGTGTCCCAAGGCAACTACATTTTAAATTCTAAAATGCTGAGTAATTTCACAGATGAAAATAATTTAGTCATTAATTCTGTTTAGGATATAAACCGCAACCTTACTTTGAAGTGTTGTTTTAAGAAGTAAATTATGAAAAATGATAGATACAACCACGTTGTAGAAAATTTGGAAAAAAGAGGAAAGAAATCTACATTTTGTTGTGGTTGTTTATAACAGTGTTGGTTAGAGTAAGACCCCCTCCCCCTCTGTGGGGTACCTTAACTTTACTGTTTTTTAATCAAAAAGAACTTTGTTTCTTTAGAACTTTTTGTACTAAAAACCAAACGACTTTTTAATGTGACTTCCGTGTTTATTAGCCTGTGATCTCTCTGATCTGTCTTTTGCTGCTCTGTGAGTGAGGTGTGGGTGACTCCTTGTCTGTAGGGAAGCTGAAGTTTGAGGGTGTGATTCTTTGACTTGTGTGATTGGGAATCCTAGCTCTAAGCAAGCATGTGGGTTTTTTACCTACATGGAATTGGAATGTTTTGGCACATGGAGTAATGTGTGTTCACTGTAAAAACAGTGGGACAGAGAAATTATATGGCTCTTTCTTTGGTTCTAACCTTCTTCTGGACTCTAGAGAAAAGGAGGGCTCTTTTTCATGAAACTTGTAAATAGTTCACTTTTTTCCTGCCCAAGTTGAAAACTAGATCCGACTGGTCCTGGATCTGTGGGTGTATTTGCTGATTCATAGGTGGCTGGACACATCACGGCGTGGTGATTGTTAGGAGCAGAAGGAGGTGCCCCTGAGCGCCAGCTCCGCGGCATAAATGAACGGGGGTTGACGTGGCCACAGTCCGGTGCTGAGTGAGCACACGGTGGAGGGAGGGCCGGCTGGTGGCAGCCTCCACTTTCTGAGCAGCTGTTTTTATTGGCCATTTGCCTTCCCTTCTCCAGACTTGCCCACGCCCCAGGTCAGCGAGCGGAGGGACCCACACCCCAGTCGAATGCAGATGCCTCAGGGGAACCCGCTGCTGCTGTCATACACCCTGCAGGAGCTGCTGGGCAGGGACACTGTGCAGGTGGAGCTCATTCCCGAGAAGAAGGGCCTTTTCCTGAAGCATGTGGAATACGAGGTTTCCAGCCAGGTAAGGGGCAAACAGTGTGTGCCTGCTGGGAAATGAGGTGGGGCGGGGGTGGCGTGAGGGGAAGAAGGGCCGCAGAGAGAGTCCGTGTGCTGGGCTTAAAGGGAAGATCCAAAACTGGACACTGAGAGCCAAGCCACCCAACAGATGTTTCCATAGCCTGGGTGTCCCCACATCTTGTTCTGGCTCAGTCACACCCCCAGCTAGCTCAGCCTGCCCTCCCCATCCCTATGCTGGGATGCTGCTCAGAGGAGTTCATCCAGTCTGCAGGGCACACGCTGCGGGAGCGGGCCAGCCTGATGTGGTTTTGCAGTGGTGGGAAATCCCTGAGGGTGGAGTGTGGGCCATTTGGAGGGCAGGATTGGTGTGTGTCTGTCTCATCCCCGCTAAGGACGCTGCCTGCGCTGTCAGGGGCCCCCCGATACCGGAGTCGAGGAGGCGCTGGGCACCCGGCTGTGCATCTGTGCGGAGACAGGGAGGCATCCGCAGTGCTAATCTTCCGTCCCTTTCTTCGTTCTCTGTCTATATCCTGGTGCTGTTAGAATGGATCCTGGAGGTAGTTTTTATTTGGAAACCAAGGATTAAGTTATCGATGAGCCAACAGCATTCTTGGGCCTGTGGAGTCCCGCTGTGTCAGTGGGGGACGCACAAGGACAGGCGGAGCAGGGCCCCACGGGCGCGACAGCGTCCTGCTGCTGTGGGGCTTCGGTTGGAAGAGTCTCTGTCATCCCGGGGAGGAAGCACGTTTTCCGAACCGAGTGGCCGTGTGTGTGTGCTGTGGGAATTGGTAGTCACAGGATTTTTGTTTTGAGGTGTTCTCAAGCTGCAGAGACCGAAGTCAGCGAGTCAGCTTTGTTCTAGTGCGCTTGTGGGTGCAGCTCCCCAGGTGAGGGCGGGTGGGGGGGCCCAGCCCCTTCCTCCGCGGGCTGGAGCCGGCGTGGGCACGTCTCCTCCTTCCGGCCTCGCGGCCGAGGATGCGGTCCAGGGTGTGGTGGCTCCAAGCATCGGGGGCTGCCCTCCCCTGTATGGGCACTGGCAGCTGGCCCTTCCTGTTTCGTTCAGGTGCCCCGTTTCTTCAGGAAGTTTGTTGTCCCCGCTCTGCCCGGGCTCCCTCCTGGGATGCACTGCTCCACCCCCAGCAGCACCCCGCTAACCAGAGGCCGCGGTGGATACAGACGTGGCACGACGTGTGCCGTCCCCAGCAGAGCAGCCGCCTGACTTTGTGGTTCTCTTTGTAGAGCTTGTGGAGTTTTTTTTATGGACGTTATATTTTGGGGGGCAGTTTGAGGTTCACGGCAGAATTGAGTGGAAGGAGCCGAGATTTCCCATAACCCCCTGCTCCCCCCCCCAAGGACAGGCTGTCCCATGATCAGTGTCCCCCAGACGGGGCATTTGTCACGATCGGCGATCCCACGCGGACATGTCGTCACCCGGAGACCGCGGTCGGTGCGAGGGTCCCTCTGGGTGGGCGCGCATTCTGTGGGTCTGGACGGTGACAGCTGGTATCCACCGCCACGTGTCCCACAGTGTTCCCGGCCCTGAAGGCCCCCTGCGTCTCACCTGTTCATCCCTCTGCCCTGAACCTCTGGCAGCCGGCCCTCCTGTGCTGTGTGCACAGCTCTGCTTCCCCGGGGCGTCCGGTCGTCGGGGTCAGACTGGCTGCTGTCCCCTGAGCAGTGTTATTTACAAGCAGTACAGCGTGTGTGATTTCCAGGATCGATGCTCATACGCGCGTGTTGTGTGAGCTCGGACACGGAGCCAGGTCAGGTTCCTCTGCGCGTGGGGGCTGGTGCTCGCAGAGCCCGTGGGTCTATCCGTGACAGGCGTACGGTGGCACTGAGTCTGATGTCCGCTTGTCTGGCCTTCTGGGTGGTGTCTGGTCTGCCGCGACGGTCGGCGCTCTCCCAGGAGGCAGTCGTGCTTGTCGCTCCGGCGCTGCGTGACCGTGTTCGGGAGGGCGCCCGTGGGACGCAGTGAAGAGGGCATCGTTCGCACTGGCTGCCTTTAATGGGGGGTGGGCCCTGCTCTGCAGGCGCAGCCTCCTGCCAGAAGTCCAGTCTCTTCAGGGGAGCCCGAATAACGGGCGGTGGGGCAGGACGCTCGCGCTATGCGGCGGTGGGAGGCTGGGTGAGCGCCGCCAGGGAGGATGGGGCTTGTCCTCGGTAGAGCCTGGTGAGGCAGGGTGAGGCACCGAGCTGCACCGCTCCCGCCGGCTCTGGTTGGTGGCGGGGGTGGGGGGCAGGGGAGGTTTCTGGCGTCTGAGCACAGGGCCCTTCTTCGTTCTCTTGCAGCGCTTCAGGTCCTCCGTGTACAGACGGTACAATGACTTCGTGGTTCTCCACGACATGCTGCTGCAGAAGTTTCCCTACCGCATGGTGCCGGCCCTGCCACCCAAGAGAGTGCTGGGAGGTAAAGCTGGGGGGCTGGCTGGCAAGGGACGCGCCCAGGAAGGCCGGGTCGGCCGTGGGCGGGGCGGGGGGGCGTGCGGCACACAGTGAGCAGTGCCTATCTTGCCTGTCGGGGTCCGCAAGAGGTGGATCACTGTTGGTACAAACAAAAGGGACCCATGCTTTTCCCGGTAGATTTCCGCACCGCGGAGCATGTTTGAGGGGGGCTGGGGTGGGGCTGCTGCCCAGCCTGTTTGCTGACCCCATGCCCTCTGCCCGCAGCCGACCGGGAGTTCATCGAGGCCCGGCGGAGGGCGCTGAGGCGCTTCATTAACCTGGTGGCCCGGCACCCCCCGTTCTCCGAGGACGTGGCCCTCCGGCTGTTCCTGTCCTTCAGTGGCCCTGTGAGTACTTCACTGTCGCGGGTGGGGCCTGAGGTTCCCCACACTGCCTGGCATTCTTACATTTGCCTGTTGTCTTGCTCTCCTTGGCTTCTGTGCCCTGATCGAGTCTCCTGCCCACGTGATTGCCCAAGGGAGATTTACTTCCTTCCCGGATAATGGGGCTGTGATGTCAGGAGGCATCCTTGGCGTTGGCTTGGCAGGATTTGGTGTGTCCAGCTGGAGGTTCTGAGCGCCGTCGCCCTGAAGGCTTTGCTTGGGAGGGTTATGGAAGTGCCGGAGACCCCAGATTGCAATGGGTGTTTCCCGGAAAGCAAATGAGGCCACATTGATGACGTGCCATTGGAAGACTGAGTGGAGTCTTTTTCACAGAGCTGCAGGATAGACCCACATCCTGGGAGACCGTCTCCACGTGGACGTTAATTTCTGTTAGAAACCAAGCGGCCGTGTCTGTCAGCTGTTGTGCAGTGTTCGTTAGCCTTGGGGAGCGAGGCAAAGCCCTTGTTCCCAGTTGGGGAGGAAGTCCCTGCCTTGTCCCAAGGGCAGCCTGCTTGCCTAGGGAGAGGGGTGGGGGTAGGGGCTCCAACAAGGCCACTTTACCAGTGGAATCAGATGGGTCGTCTTCTGTCCGAGGGAACCCCGTTCTCGAGCAGGGCCCTGGGGGGCTCAGTCCCACCCTCTCCCACTGCAGGACACAGATTGTGGAGCCGCAGAGGCGGACCGAGGGGTCTGGGGTCTCCTTGAGAAGGCTTTCCTGCTGCTAGCTCAGGGGTACCTGCCACTGACGCCCCTCTTATGGGACGTGAAGCAGGCACCCCATGAAAGCTTGCTGTGATCGTCTGCCCTTTAGCTGGGAGTGTGGGCCTTTGAACCCTGGGTGCACAGGTTCCTTTAGCGCAGGGATCTTTACTGCCAGAGAGGAATGCGGGGGGACCTGGGAGCTGCACACACTGGGCACAGAGTTGGGCGGCGTCCCTGTCCTGGAGGTGTGAGGCTCCTCTGACCCTTTGCCCTCACACAGATAGGGTGTTGTCCCTGGGACCTCCCTGACTCCGTTTCCTCTGGTAAAATGAGAAAATTAGGACAGATGATCCTCAAGGCATCTCTGAAATTCTAGAATTCCTTGACTCATAAGGAGCTGCAGGTTAGGCTCTCTGCCTGTATTTCCCATGGCTCTTTGTGGGTCCCGGTCTTGGACATGGCTTTGCCAAGGAGGCCTGTGTGCTGCCCACGGGCCCTCCCGGGGCTCTGGGCCCAGGTCCTGTGGGTCTGTCTGAAGGAAGGAGGACACCTCAGCTCGTCTCTGTGCCCCACGCGGTGGGACCCACCAGGATGTGACGTCTGTGGCATGGAGGTCCTCTCTGCTCTGTGGATGGAGTTCCTGTGTTTCTGGAGAGAGAGCTGCCCTCTGGAGCTGGAGGTTTTGCAGTGCCGGTGTTGTTAAGTCAGGCTTTCCTGGCTGTGGAAGGCCACCCTAAAGGTTAAAGTCAATGGGAAGAAGTCCTGGGAGACACAGTGACGAGATATTCTGGGATGCCTGTGTGACAGCCCTTCAGTGGGAACGCGTTCCTTTTGAGGAAGGCCTGCATCCTGCCTCCTGCTGACTTCTATGGTCTCGTACAGACTGTTCTGCAGCTTGGTAGAGCTGGCTGTTCTGTTTCCTTTTGCAGGACGTGCAGAACAAGTTAAAGGAATCAGCTCAGTGTGTTGGAGATGAATTCATGAACTGTAAGCTGGCTCCTCGGGCCAAGGTACTTTGCTCATCGTGACGCGCCCCCTCCAATCCAGGCAGTGACCACCTGACCCCATGCCTGACTGCGTGCTGGGGATGACGCTGAGGCCCGCCGCATGGTTTCCTCATTTCACCTGCTTTCACCTGCTCAGACGCACAGCCAGTGTCCTGCCAACTTTGCAGATGGGGAGACGGGCCCCGAGAGGCTGCCAAGGTCCCAGACCACCGAGTAGCCCACCCGTAGGGGGCTGAACATGGTCTGGCCGCAGAGCCGGCCAGCTGTCCTGCCACATCCCCGAGGCTTCTTTGTGATTCAGGTGGACTCCCGCTGGGTCACTAGCCTCTCGGATTTCAGAGGGGATGGGAGTGTTGCATTGGTTTATTGTAAAATTTAGCAAATCTGTTCTTTCTCTAAAGAGGATTAAGGTGGCTACTGGGTAGCTTTTTCCTTTTCCTTCTTCAACTGCTTCTCCATACGGAAATACAGACTCCTGCCCACGTGCCCACTCCATTCTCTAAGCTTTCTGTCTTGTAAGCGTTATGTAGTTAATGTTAACATTAAAGAAGAGTTCATGTTAATAGGTAGTTAATAGTAAAGCTGGTAAAAAGTGACTCTTGGGGGAGAAATGCGGCCTCCTGGAGGCCTTGCCCTCATGCGGAGAGTCACTTTGAGCTTGACGGTTATTATTGGAGTGTGCGTTCTGGCAGGACCTCCAGTTGGGTCCGCTTTCAGTGGACGCTAGAATCGCCATCTCCTGGGGCCACTCAGCTTAGTGTTTGTGGTATATGTGTGATGTTGGTTTCTGTTTCTCTTTTGGACAAGAAGGGAGGCCCCGTGAGGCCCCCACATGGCCTGGCGTCTGGGCCCACAGGCTGCTCCGTTGCTGGGCTTCTTGCCTGTCCTGATGGGCATTGTCTCCAAAAGGCCCTTCACGGCCAGTAATGCGCGGCCTTGCTGTCCTCCCTGCCAGGACTTCCTCCCGGCCGACATCCAGACCCAGTTAGCCGTCAGCCGGGAGCTCATTCGGAACATCTACAACAGCTTCCACAAGCTTCGCGATCGGGCCGAGCGGATTGCATCGAGGGCCATCGACAATGCTGCTGACCTTCTCATATTCGGGAAGGAGCTGAGGCAGGTGCCCCGCCGGGGGAGGGCTCTGCAGACTTCGTGGCAGAAGGCGTTTTACCATAGCGACGCTCATTCTGACCAGTTAGAAGGCGAAGGAGAGGGTTGGGGAAATGGGTTATGGAATTTAGAAGGCAAAAATGGGAATTTAGGCAGGGAAGGGTGGATCCCTAAACACACGAATGTGTGCCAGTAGGTCACACGGCGTTTTCCCTGCTGTCAGGACTAGACTGGAAAAGGATGGCGTGAACTGTTCACGCTCCTCTGGGTGGAGGGGCAGCGGACGGTCAGCCAGGAACGCAGCCTCCTCCGCAGTCTCCAGAATTCTGCCTCTCAAGCCCACGTGCGCACACCCGTCCCTGGGGGGCTTGTTGACCAGAACTGGCTCAGGAGGCCTGGGGCGGGGACTGAAGTCCTGCCTTTCTGACAGATGCTCAGATGTCCCCAGGGACTGCTCTTCATTGGCAGAGGTTGCCCGGGATGACATGTCATGATGGCCAGCTTGGCTCCCAGGCCTTGAGTGTCTTGTCTCCTGTTTCTTTTTCCCTTAGTGCTTTGGGGTCTGACACGACCCCGCTCCCCTCCTGGGCCTCTCTGAACAGCAGCACGTGGGGGTCCCTTAAACAGGCGCTGAGAGGCCTGTCCGTTGAATTTGCACTGCTTGCTGACAAAGCTGCCCAGCAGGTGAGTGACGTTGTTGTGCTCGGTGCCCGTTCTGAAGAGCACCTGTCCCTGGGGAACGGACGCAGGGACATCTTCTTACGTGGACTTTGGAGTCCTGTGTCCGGAGTGAGTGGGTGTTGGTCTTGGTTGGAACTGCATGTCCCCATCTGTTCCCAGTGGCTCCCTGTGAGCCCCTGACGCTCTGAAGATGGTTGCCCATGACAGACTGGGTGCTGGTCCTTTGAGGGTTGATTTTGCTGAGATGAGAAGCTGTAATCTGTCCTTGAAAACGTAATCTCGGACTTCCCCGGATGCTTCTGTGTGGACCAGGTAGTTCCCACTTTGCTATCCTAGTCAAATACTTGGTTCCTCGATAACTTATCAGGACAGTAAGTAAGCTCCGGAGCCCCGAGAGAACCCATCTCCAGTCCCCGCAGAGACCCAGTTAGCCTCCGGAAATGCTTCTGCCGCACGCGCAGGGGCCTTGTGGTCCTTGGGGATCGATTTGAAGGTCCACAGTTTACTGGCAGACGGAGAGGCTCTTCTGGGTGCTTTGATGCTATAAAACCCCTACGTGACTTTGAGGGTGAGCGTTTGCGGCCTGGTTCTTGGGGAAATGGTCTTTAGGCTGGTAGTAAATAAATTAAAATGGTGTACTTGTGAAGGGACTTGCTGCCTGTCTGACGCTTGAAGCTCCTTAGTAGCAGGCTGGAGAACGCAGTGACGGTGGTGGACTCTGACCGTGGAGCTGGGGGATTTTCAGGCTCAAGGTGGGGCCCTCAGAGGCCCAGGACGTCTCTAAGTTCTGAAAAGGAAATTTGATCTCATTGGCTGGTACAGAAAGTCCTGGGTTTTCTTCCTCTGTGGTGCCGGTGCCTGTGTGTTCCTGTTAGAAACTGAGCGTAGGGTGTTGTTGGCATTTCTCAGAGTTGGCGCCGGGCCCAGTCCCTCTCCAGGCCTGCCGGGTGCCCACGTGTCCACTGCGGGGAGGACTGGCACTGTGCTGTTGGAGGTGCGGCGGCAGTGTCTTGTGCTGGGCCTGTGCTCGGGTTATGTTGCTTCCTGGGCCTGTTCCGTGTCCGTGAGAAGCAAGGGCTGGACGAGGTCATTCGGACACTTCATGGAACCTGTTGGACTTTTCCTCAAAGCTCATTTTGAAACCTAAAATTGAAGCTGTCCTGGTCCCTCTCAGGGCCCAGGTCCCCTGGGCCGCACACAGCTCCCAGTTCAACAGGTAGCCTCATGGCAGGGGTGGGAGAGCGTGTGGGGTGCACGGTGAATCCCCAGGCGTCCCGCAGAACGGAAACTCCTGACTCTCTCGTCTCCCGTGTTTTCCGACTGAGATTTGGACGCTGGGGTTCTGCCTTTGAAGTGGGAGAGAGGGTTCAGGCTTCTGATGTGGTGAAAGTTCATAGTTTGAAGCTGACCCCCAAGCTCTGAGATTCTCTGATAGCTGGCGGATGCTGCTTTGAAATGTGATGTCTGAGGAAGTGCCACTTCCTGACTATTCCTCGTGGTTTTCACGTTGAAGTGAAATTAATATAGTTTTAATGTGAAACTGGATCAAACGACCGTCAGGACTTTCATCCAGCACAGCTGGGGTTCTGTTCACTCTCACTGCACGAGGAAAGACATCCAGGGGCTGGTTTTCCTCACTCCGTTTCCACACACCCTGGTTTTATTCTCCCCATACCTGTTAGGGGCCCCAGGTCGCTATATCCCAGCCGGACAACGGACACTCAGAGGGGGCTGTTTTTTCTATGCTGACAGGATGGTGCTTTGGGGTCTGAACGAGAACTGGGACTTAGCCAGTGACGTGACCTGCTGCTAGACTGAGGAACCTCCGTCCTCCTGTGGCCCTCCGCTCAGTCAGGCGGGAGCAGGGCACCTGGGGACCTCTGGTGTTTTCCTTCCAGGTTTAGAAGACCTGGAACATGCCTGTTGTTTTCCTGTGACCTTACTGGCTCGAGTCTTGGCTGTGGGTGTGGGAATGAGTGGCCTGGAACCTCTGAGCTCAGCAGGCATGAGTCCCGGGTCCCCTGAGTTGGTGGCAGAACCCGGGCAGGAGCCCCTGGCTCCCAGGGCAGTGCTTGTAACGCGGTCAGACTCGTCCCCTCCCCGTGTCTTCCCATCTTCTGCCTCCTGGCTGCACCCTCTACACACACAGTCCGATGGGTGGTTTCTGAGGTGAGCTTTTCATGCTGTGCCGTAGCTGGAGCTCTAGAGGTTGTGAAAAGGGCTCCTTTCTCTGAGGAGCCCACGCTGCACCTGGGGGAGGTGAGGTGCTCACCAAACAGCTGAGAGGTGCTTGGTGAATGCCTAGGAAGTGTTCGGCAAACACCCGGGCAAGGTGCTCGGCAAGTGTCGGTGGCCGAGGGACATGAGCTGTGCTCTAGAGCCCTTCAGGACATGTGGCTGTGAGCACGCTGTTAGAACAGAGGGGTCCCAGGAAGCCGGCCTAGCCCCACCGTACTGTGGCTTTGGCATGCTGGGAGGCCCAGTGCTGTGGAGCAACAAGCATGAGCGGGCAGAGGACCTTGGGGACACTGAGGATGTAGTTTTCATCCAGCCGCCGGGTTCTGTGGCTTCCCTGCCTTATGTTGGGGGGCCTTCGTGTGGGAAGGTGGCTCTTCTGCAGAGCTGGCTGGTGGCTGTGGGGGGAAGAGCCAGCTCAGGCCTGTGTATGGGGGGCCCTGGCCGGGGCTGTGGGGCCTGTGGTGCTCGGTGTTGGTCACCCACCCTTGTTTTCTAGGGCAAACAGGAAGAGAATGACGTGGTGGAGAAATTGAACCTCTTCTTGGATTTGCTCCAGTCTTATAAAGTGAGTCTGGCTGCTCCTTGGCCAAGGACAGAGGTTTTGAGAAGGATCCACGATCTTTCAGGGGTGTGACTCCAGAGGAGTGGCCGAAGAGCTGCGAGGCCAGGGCTGTGGAGGGAAGATGGGCCGTGGGCAGTCTTGCCAGAGTTATTTCCCCTCGGCGGGTTCTGCCAGTGCTCTGGGCTGTGGCCCCAGCAGGTGTGCAGACAGGCCTCTGTCTTCCCTTGGTCTGAGAATGGCGGGTGTGAGTGTGTGTGTGCATGTGCATGAGTGCATGTGTGTGAGTGTGTGTGTGCACGTAGACACGTGCATACACGTGTGCGTGTGTGGTCTGTGTGAGTGTGTGTACACGTGTGCATGTGTGTGAATGCATGAGCACCTTATATGTACGCGTGCATATACGTGTGTTCCCATGTGTGTGCGTGTGCACGTGTGACTGTGTGCACATGTGTGTGAGAGAATATGCTCGCTCCCTACACATACGTGAGGGGCTGGCCTAGCGCTGAGGGAGGTTGCCTCTTCTGTGGGCAGAGGTTCTGGGAAGTCCGACTCCAGCTCTGTGTAGGGCTGGCTTCTGAACCGTGGCGGCTTCGGTGATGGGCTGGATTGTCTGTGAAGCCAGAAAATGCTTTGTGCTGAGCTCAAGGAGAGGGGCCCCAGGACTTTGAGGAGGTTCCAGAAGGGATTTCTCTGTTAAGTTGGATGGTAGCGAGGTCCCCTTGAGATCCCAGCGCAGTGATTCTGTGGCCAGTATTTCCCACAAGATTCCTGATTGGGGCTATTTCAGGGCTCCAGGGAAATGCCAGTGCATCTTCCTTTTGGAGACGGGTCTTTTTGCTGCTGGAGGGACATGGGCTGCCTGAAACTGGGCAGCGGAAAAGTCGGAGACCCATCTTCCATGTTCCCTGTCCGTCTTCCCCTGTGGACAGGACCTAGTTTATGTGGGTTTTCGGTTGGCGGTGCCGATTTGCACCGCAGCCCTTCCTGGTTTCACCCGGGGCCCGTCACCTGAACCGCCCCGTTCCACGAATCCTCCCTGAGCGTGCAGTGAGTGGGAGTGCGTGTGAACGGTTTCTAAAGAGGAGGGGCTCGCATGTGAACAGCGCTGACTTTGAAGCCTGTGTCTGTTTCCCGGTCTCCTCCCGCTGCCTCCCCCGGGGAGGGTGGCTCTGGTCCCGGCAGGCTGGTGGCTGAGCACAGG